CCGTTAACTACTTTAAAAATGAACACCATTGTCAAATATACAATTCTTTGCTTCACCGACAACCATTGTAAGGCATCTAGCATCAAAGTTGAGGAAGTGAATCTATTACATCTCAAAATCAAACGCATTATTTTATTCTGCAAGCGCTGTAATCTCGATGTTTGTGTTGCATTGGCGAGCAATAAAATGGAAGGGCAAAAGTCAAGATGAGGAGAGATGATTGATTTGTATAGCTGTATTTTACTGGAAATAGTTAAATCGTTTTTCAGTCGACATAGAATTCCATACTTCTTGGCAATTTTCTTGATGACATTGTCAATGTGAGAGTTGAACTTAAGTGTGTCAACAATAATCACGCCAAGATATTTAATCTCCCGAACGCGATTAATAGTCTCATCATCAATTACAACAGAGACGTTCTCATTTTCTCGATTCCGCGAAATTACCATAAATTTAGTTTTACTTGTATTCAATTTTAACTGCTTATACTTCAACCATCTACTTAGAGGACGCAAATCTTCATTCAAGTGTAAAACGGCATCACCTAAATCCTTAGCTGCAATGAATAACACAGTATCATCTGCAAAAAGATTAATGTCGCAACATCGTACAATACACTTCCCTGGGGCACTCCAAGGTTATTCCCCACGGGACTGGAAGCAGAATCATTAAAAACAGTCCGTTGAGTTCTGTCAGACAAATAGCTTTCAAACCATTTATATTTATATTTATATCGTTCCAGCAACTTTTTGAATAGGGACCACTAAGGATTCTTCATCGTTCTTCGGTGAATCGAAGAAGGTTTGCGGGCGACCTTTCTTTGTGTACTGGGAAAAATGTACAAAGTCACGTGCCGAAAGCACTGCTGCTGCTGCTGTTGATGATGACTGACCTGACACCATCACACACGGTGATTGAATATGCACCGTTCGGTGAGACCGGATGGAATTTGATTTTGAAATCTGTGTTAGGGAAAGCGCTTTTTGCAGGCAATCTGTGATCATTTTGATCACCATTGCAACAGTTGGACATTTGTGTAATTTTCAATAGTGACCTATTTAAAATTGAAAAGTGTTTATTTTAGCAGATTCTTAGATGACCTTCCAATCGATTGGCTTGTTTAGAATTAAAATCCATCCGCTATAGACAGAGTTATAAGTGGTCAAAACCTGACCACTTTTCGTTATGCGGTCGATTTTGGTTTTTTGTTTAAGTGCTCCCCCAATATGGGGCCGAAAGACGTAAAATAGAAGCAAAGGGCGGATTATGCTTAGTAGGCCCAAAATTAGATTAAAGCCCTGTTTCTTTAACATTCGCCTATCCAACTCAAAACTTTCTCACTTAACACAACATTTCTCCACACAAAATTCGTACCTCATAAGCTTTGTGCGTTCCCTAAGGACTTGTATTAGATGTGGAACTATATGGTACATTTGCCATAGAATTAGGGACATTTTAGTTTATCTGTGGATTCAATTAATATTATTTAGCGAATATATTCATTTTTATGGATCATTTTCCGTAGGTTAGAACAATTTTTATTGTTCATGAATACAATTACTAATATTTAGACAAAGTTTTCTTTTTTTATGGAGCATTTTTCGTAGGCTATGGTGCATTTTCCGTAAATAATGGAACACAGTTTATTATTCATGGATACAATGAATATTACTTAGAGATAATTTTCGTTTTACTATGGAGCTTTACTGTCATTGGAAATAGGGTTACCAAACAATTAAAACATTGATTGATGAATACAGATCGGAGGCCTACACAATGAATTGTTCTAATAATTTTTTTGGACATTGCTACGATGGGTGAATCTAACAGAATAGCTTTTTTACGGAACAATGTCTACTTTTTAAGAAGCAATGTTTTTTCTTTTTTCTGTATAATTTTATAGAACATTTATGCTTTTTTTAAGAACATTCTTGCTTTTCAATGGCAATATTTCAATGGTTCTATGGTACAATTGCACTTTATCAAATTGCAAACCGTTCGAGATTAGGGAGCATTTTTGATAACCTAATGTACAGTTTTTTAATGATGTGTGTGATGTTTTTGATTTTAATATAAGTAGACCAATTTTTAAGAATAGGATTCAGTCACTTTAAACAGTCTGTATGGCTAAAATGTCAAAGATGGTGGTTAAATAAATAAATAAAAAACATTTATATTTCAGGGAGCGTATTTCAATACTTTAAGGTGCATTTCCAATATCTAAGGTACTTCAATGTAGGGATCGATGAGCTACTGTTAATGGTGCATTTTTCATAGCTTTAAGGAACATCACGTATCTGTTATATTCTTTTCAAAGCGATAGTGAAAGTAAATAGTGAAAGTGAATTATTGAAAGTGAAAGTGATACAATAGTAGTAGAATGAAAAAGAAAAACATCGTTATAAGGTATATGTTATAAGTGTCAATTAAAAGTGCAAAACATTATGATCAATTTTACCTTGGTGGCCAAATTGCAACCAGATTTCGGCAGCATCGTTACGAGTTACGACTCTTTATTATGCTTTTTTTCCATTGCATCAGTACTGATGGCATCAAAGTTTAAAGTTGACCATTTTGAATGTAAATCCTCAACCTTAGGTATTATATGAAGCATTACTGTATATTCACAGGCTTGTCAGATAGCATGTCACAGTCTTCAGCAAAGTTGGGTCATTTTATGTAATTAAAAACTTCTCCAAACATAAAATGTCTCCAAAAACTGAAACGGATGTGTTACTGTGAAAATCTCAATATTTGAATAATTCCTACGCAGTAATTAACAATAACTCCTCCTGTCTTTTTGCATCGAAGTGTTCATCAAAATATTTAAAATCTCATCATGGTATTATTTTTTTGAAAATATTTACCCCATTTTAGATTTAACTTATGTGAAACATCATGTTTTGAAGAAATAAACCCATGTAACTTTTGTGGATTAATAGATAGCATGTTGCTGAAAAATCAAACAAAAAAGTTAAAACCGAAAAATCAATTGTATGGGGGCTTCCATAAAGAATTCTCTCAATAAAAATGATTTGCTATCAAGTTTATGGAAATGATGAGTTGTACAATCTTGTAGAATATTTCAATATCTAAAATCGTAAGTCAAAAAAGCTATAATTTCAAGTCACGTCCCAATGAGTATAATTAATGGACGACCTATTCATCAGATGTGTCTATTTTTAACTAAAAACTTCTTTGAAGACACCAAATTAATTGAACTTAATCTTCATGCACTTTTCATATTTTTCCGTGATATTCGCCCTTCACTATGCCTCCTTGCACCATGCCACCGGTGTTTGTTAGATTGTTTAATAATAATTCAAGTTTAATTCCATAATCAATCATTGTCTGTAATAATGGTTTTGGAAATAAAAAAAAAAGAAATAGTATTTTACCTCACCGGGTTATTTAATAGTATTTATCCCTATGTATTGTTTTCAATATACTTTCATGGTCATTTCATAAAACAAATGGAGACGCATGGTTGTGATGAAAATTTATAAAACTAAAGTGTTTACCTTTGTAAAGGAAAAAGTTTCAACTGCAACCGTTCATTTAAGGTAGGTACATATGTTGTACACTAATTATCTCCATAAACTGCCGCTTCAAGCCAAGCCAGAAAAAAAAACATTACACCACACTGATGCCCAAAAAGGATCCGAAAGAGGTGCGAAGAAATAACACATAATTTCGTTCCTTTTCTGTGGTTTACAACCTATCCGTTCTCTGATGCTGTTTGTGTGATGGGTTGAAGCGATTTTAAATAATGTGTATGTATGTTCAATGCCGCATAAAAAGAAAGAAAAAAAAAGTTCTTAAATGCATATCATTATACAAATGCTTCAAAGAAGCGCGACGCTTGATAAAAAAGAGATGTTATGCAAAAATTAAAAATAATGAGCTTCCACATTTTAATAACAATAAATACTTGGAGATAGTGCTTGAATTTTCATAAAGCTTTGAAAAGTTGTGACCGGTCATTTATCACGTCGTTAATGAATAGTTTTTATCCCTATGTATTGTTCTAAAACATTCTTCCGTGGTCATTTCATAGAACAAATCAATGATGATGATAATGATGATGATGGGCCCACCTCTCCACTTAAAGTTGTGACCGGTCATTTATCAGGAAGGCATAGGAAAATATACTACGAGGGGGGAAGAAAGAATTTTAAATTAAACAAAAAATTAGAGGTAGCTTAGCATCATTAGTCGATGGTAAAGCAATGCCATTCATCATAATGTTCCTAAATAAACATCACGGTGAAAACCATGCTCTCTGATCATCAAAACTCTCTTCTCTCTTTTATGAACTTTAAAAGGGGAGCAAAAGCGTCCAGTATAAAGCTTTTGAATGCGGCAACATTTCATCGTTGTGCTTTTTGATAGAAGCTCCAATGGAAACATTTCAGTTAATTTAATTGGCAATGTAAGTTTCATTATTGGCATATCAAATTTCACTTGGCCATTGCTAAATATGAAAGTTCGTTTGGTCAGTTGTAATTGCCTCTAAAAATATTAAACATTCCACGATAACAATAATTATTCCATTGTTGATTGATGTAAACAGCGTATAATTGAATGAAGTCTACAAACATTTTTGCACATTTAGTGAACTATTGTGTTTTGCATGTTTCATTTGATGCGTGGGATTTATCTGTGTTATAATTATTTTATTTGTTGTGTTTCGAATTTAGAAAATTTTATGTGGTTTACTTTTGTGATAAATAAATTTGTTCACAAATAACTAGCTAAAACATCCTCACTAGCTCAAACAATGATGCGATAGTTTATGAAACATAATTTCCTCAAGTTACATTCAACGAGAAAAGGCCTAGATCATCGCCGGTACCCCACGGACAGCGAACGCGTTAGTGTGTATAAATAACTATCAACCCACAAAGGTTCATTGGACAGCTAGCAGGCAGAGTACGCATACCCACTTCATTCATAATTCATCCCCGTGCTTACATGTGTGTAGCCCGCGGCCAGACTTCGCGGGTTGTGTTGATATTGGCCACATTGGCGTATTCTGTCTATGTCACCGACGTACACGTATGTACAGCCTACTAGACTGATTCAGTGGCAGTCTCCGGAGAAGTGTTTTCGCGTTCGGTTGTGTTGTCTCGACTGCCAGACGCGGTGTGAGAGTTTCGCTATTAGAGAAAGGGTCAGGGAGAAGAAGAAAAACTGCTGAAATTGTGAATTGATGTGCTAATGCTGTGATAAGGGAGCGAAAAAATTGCATAGCAAAATTGTTTCACTACAAGGTGCCGAAGTGAAGTGCTATTATCAAAGTGAATAATCAAAAACAGCTGCAGTTAAATCCATATATTTATAGATATTAAACTGGTGCTTAGCAGAATATAGTAATAAAGAAGAATCTTTCCCTGTAGCTCAAAAATGGATGGAGATAGTGCTCAATCATTCTGTGGATTTAAACAACAAGTGTCAGCGGTACCTCAGTATGGTTTGAAGCTTAAATTCAATCACGTTTATCCGGAGACGAGGAATCAGAACCTGAAACCCTCGTTCCGGCAAATATGGCCTATTATCCCAATGGCTCTAAGGTACGTCACCGCGGCTATGAAAAAGACATCAAATCCAAAACAAAGGCAAACGAGAAACTTTCGCTTCTGCCACTTAAAATTCATTTATTCGGAAACGGCATAACATATAGCTCTGCATGCTATTATTTGGATAGCCTTCAGCTATTGATGTACCTTCTTGGTGACACGATGTCTGCGAGATTACACCTATGTACGTAGGTAATGCATTCCCACCCACTAGGGCTCCCGACAACCTCTTAGCCTGGCTCGGGTTAACTTGAGTTTACATTCATATGAAAAATTTACGCTCTTAGGACATCAGCTGCCAAAAATAGGATCCTGCGGGGGATCTTCAATTTCTAAATATCGTTGCGGGAGTGAAAAAGTGTACATGTATCGATTTTCACTTTTCCTTTTTATGTTCGGGCCTTCTATGCTTCTCGCTGCCTTATGCTCTTACATGCTCAGTGATTACGACTCTCTCAAAGTTTTGTTTCAATGTTATCATGCCGGTAGCTGAGACGGAGCTGCATTATGTGGACGATACAGTATGGTAGTTGAGCCAGTAATAGCCTACTAACAAGTATCATAGCTCAGACATTTATTTAGTCAATTCTATTGCACATCAATATGTATATTGTTTTATTGTGAGGAAAAAATGCTTCATTGTTTTTTTTATTAGTTAGAACATGACCACCACTTTATAATAGTTGTGATGCGACTTGTCGTTACCTAAACCCCTTTATACCCGGTTGACGTCACTTTCATAACTAATTTGATAATGTAAAAATGTAAATCTACTATATTTTTGGAGAATTGTCGAACAAAAATCTCCAATCTGCAACAATGCAAACTTTACTAATACCGGAACACCCATCCTACTCTAACACGGTTACATTTGCGCAAGCCCTATACAAGCATTGATTTCGTTCAGCAGACTTTATTGGCTCGACTGCTCACTCAACCACTAACCACACACGTCGAGTCAGAGAACCATTCAGTAGTATCCACAGTGAGAGATTGAACCTGAAGTGTTGTTTTGTGTCGACTATCGTCAGCATTTGTTGCTGCTCGCTTGTTTGTTGTGATCTCTTCTACTGCATGCCTTGTTTTGTTTACTTGAACCACAATCAGTTTTCATGCGATTTGCAAGTTCGACCGTGAGACGATCATCATTATCTAGAATGGTGATATTGTGGGATTTTTGATAAACAGCTGTTATAAAGTCATGCAATGGTAAGACCCTCGTTGACAAGTTGATTGCTGATAGTGATGATTAGGAAAACAATAGGTATGACGAATCTCAATAGAAAGACTCATCGTAAGATGTGTACACGATTCTTATCACATATTCATACCAGATATAATCTAATGACATAAGATAAAACAGATTTGATATGGCTATATGGCATCTATCAAATAAAAAAAAATAGTATCATCCATCCACGTCAAAACTATGTTATATCCTACATTTATTTGTCACTAATGGAATAATCTGGCATCCGGGCAGCGAATAAACTGAAATATTATGGAATTGAGCATATCGATGTAAATTCACTATGCATATTTTCATGATGCTGGTTGCGTTATGACATTTGTATTAGGGTAATTCAAAATATCTAGTTTGCGATGCAAAACTAGGTCATGACCGTTCTCTTAAAATTGGAGCTAATTTACAGTGTATCCCAAAATTGATCGTACACGTGAATGGGCAGTTTTCTTTTAAATACTTTGAATAGATAGATTTTTTAAATCATGGTTGGTAGTTGAACAACTCCTTATGGATTTATCGGTATAGTTTTGGACTTTTGTGGCAGATTCGGTATGAAGTTTGAGTACTTTTAATAAAATGCTCAAATTTCTACTTTTCCCGCAGTAGATGGATTTTAGTCAAATTAGTGGTATATGAATGATCTTTATTACGACTTCAAATGAGTAAAATTTCAAAAAGTTTTATTCATTGTATTTCAATAAAAAAAAATTTATTTTTGGAACAAGTCGTTTCTCTAAAATACTCTAACACACTCAACTAAATAAGCCCAATACTATATTCATAACCGATAAATGTTTGATGAGTCAGCAGTCAAAAATAATAAAAATCACTGATATGGGAATAACATTACTATGAGAAAAGTGTACTTAACGGGGTAGCTTGCTCTCTGTATTACTTATCTGTTTATAATCCAGAAGGCCCTGTTTTCTTTCCGGAAAAACTCAGATATAAAGGGTCATGCAAAAATTATGTAAGGGTTTTTGAGTGATTATTCGACGAACCCTACCCACCTTGAAAAACACTGTAAGTTTTTCAGTTAGATCTTCACTCCCCCTAAAATCTTAGTAAGAGTTTAAAAGCAACCAGATTTAATATGTTCGTTATTTTCCTAGTAGATCTGAGGTCGTTAATGCTAAAAACTCCAAATGACAAAAATTACTTATAAACCACTTAAACTCTCCACGGCTTATTTATACGAAATTTTTGACAACTAACGCTTAGCTGAAGACCACTTTTTAGGTGATCATCAGAATAATTAGCAATTTATTTATTTGGAAAATGATGTTCTTCTGAAATGCTCCATCAATCGCTCAGCAGGCAACCCGAGCAAAGGATTATACCAAATTGGTAACAAGTTCTGATACCCAGTTATCAAGATTTGATAACTGAACATGTTTTTCATTGTGGTTGAATAAACATCCAACATAACAAAAATTAAAACAAAATAATACTTCTGAGATATCACAAAAGCTACTGATTTAGTTACCATTGAATACATCTTGATAACAAATCCTGTGACTCATGCCAATATTTTTTCAACAAATTTCAAATTATCAAGCCTGATAACTGAAATATGATTTGCCATTTTTTTTTGCTTGCCATTTGGATAATATTTCATGTTTTGAACTAGCCTTGCATCATTTCATATTCTTTCATGATACCAACTGATAACAAAATTAGTCGAGGAGGATAACTAAATTAGTTATGCGTTAACAGCTGAAAACAAAATTATATCTAGAATAACAAGAATAGGGGATATCAGGTTGTTACATTCTAAATGTTTTTTGTTACTTCATTCACCTACACATTTACGATTTTCAGAGTTGGTTGGAAATGCTATACTAATATCAACATGAAGCTTCATGTTGATATTAGTATAGCATTTCCAACCAACTCTGAAAATCAGGTTGTTATTTAATTTGCTGAACCCCAGGCATTTTAGAAAACCAAGCAAAGGATATTTTGGAGTTTAACGTATGCTCTATCATTAAGTCGAATCATCGTATACCTTGTTGAGTATGCAAAACTTCAAGATCAGATATCCGGGATGATTTGGATAATGTTGTTTTTAAACACAATTAATAGATTTAAATAATGCTATGAGGCTCCGTGATGCACAAAATGCTCAGGAGAAGAGGAAACTGAACAAGATTTCTTTAACCTGTAAAATATCTCCACGACAATTTGGAGAGAATACTTTGGTAATACATCGATGTATACCAACACATATTTTTTGGCCTATAGAACTACAAGATCTTAACTCCAGGAAGATTTGAAGAACATTTAATACTGCAATTTTCCTGCTCTGGTGCCTTGTATTGATTTATGCTTTTTCTGACATACCAAAACTCATGTTGCAGGAGCCTCTTTGATTGTATTTGAATTCACAATTCCATGGGGTTTTTGTGGTCTAGATGATCAACATGTTAATGCAAATCTCATCTCATATTTATTATACGAAGTAGACGTATTTTAGAACAATTCTGCTAAACAAAGTATATTATTATCTATAAATGGCTATTTTTTGTTTAAAGCAGGGGTTATGTTTGGGTTGGGTCTTTTAAATAACCGGGGAAAACCGGGAATTCAAAAATGGGATTTGAGTAGACACCCTGACACCCGGACACTACGTGGTTCACCAAGGTTTTTCAAAACACGGTTTACGTTAACAGTTCTAACTTCTTCGTCACGCTGCACACTGGGGCAGAACGAACGAACACTTGGACTAAGAACATTTACCCTGAGGTATCAAGCATAAACTAATAAAAGTCTTATTGTTATTGCATAATGCCAGATAAGGGCAGTTGGGGTTACGATTAAATTTTAAGTAGTAATTCTAAAACTGTGAAAAATTCTTTTTTTTTTCATAAATGGAGGAATTAATTATTATTATTTATTATTATTTATTATAGAGGTTTTACCATAGCATTGTAATTCACTATAGGAGGATTTATTGATTACAATACCTTTGAATGCATATAGTTCTTGAATTAATGATTAGAAAAAAAATTGATCAGATAAGGCTTTGATTCGAAAACTAGGCTTTTCCCAAATTTCAAACGTCTGTAAATAAAAAGCCCCGTGGGGCAATTCTTCCCTCTTCACGGCCATTCAGTTTAAGGCCTCAATTAGTCACAAACCGAACCGTCTGCCACTTCGAAAATTATTAATAATTTTGTAGAGCATGCTTTGACGTCCCAGTTCGTGCTACCCTCCTGCTTTTCGAGTATTCGGTGGTGTCAGTACTGAACCAGCCATAACTAAGCTATGCTCATATTTACTTCGATAAGCAATATTTACTATAGTATTCCAAAACCTCCTAAAAATCGAACCTTTTGCTATTTGTATACGGTTGTATTCTGGCAAATTATAATAAAATCAATATATTTCTTGTAACGAGTTCGATATCTGCAACATGTCAAACCAGAGTGTTTTCTGAAACACCTTTTGAATAATGCTTGGAATTGACTAGGTAAAAATCATTTTACAGTATTTTCTGATGAGGATGTGAGGAAATAGTTCTGTCAGTTTCAAACAATTTGTTCGTGGTTTTATCGGGCGCATTGGTACAATTATCAAACGTACATAATGTTTCGCACCACTTCATCTGACAAACTTAAAAGGAAGTCAGCTGTTGTGGATCTCTTTCACTTCAAAACAGAATCGGAAGATGATGAATAATGAAACGTTCATAGTTAAAATTCCTAAAAATTGTAACAGATTAAATGAATTACCTAAAATGAAGCTC